CCAGGGTAAAGGAAACAGAAAAAGAAAATAAGCACAAACCTTATTGACTTTATTCACCCCATCAATCGGTTCCATCTTCTTCACATCAGATAAACATGTTTCTGGATAAAGTAACAAGCGTTAGAAAAAAAAAGGTAAAAGGCCTCCAAATTCATTAGCATAACACAAACTTATACAGAACAACAAATCATTAATATTGCACCTGGGATCCATATAGCACAGGCTAGATGAGCCCAGCGCCCATCAGTTGTCGGCTTCATCGCACCCCCTACTACAGGACAAATACAACACCGTGGAGGTATATCAGGAGCGTCAGGACGACATAAGTTGCATAACCACAAAGCATCATCACAGGGTTCTAGTTCTCCATAGCATCTAGCATGGACCTGGTAATGGACCAGATATTTCAAATTCAGTCACAACTAAGAGAATGAAAGAACACAAGGCACTATAGAATATAGATGTAAGAGAGATACGAAAGCTCAGAGCACGAGCATTACCATCATTCTACATTTATCACATTGCAGGAACAAATTGTTCTCATACTCCTGCAGACAAAAGTATATTAACCAGAACTAACTTAATAAAGCAAAAAAGATTGAAATTCCCTGTTGAGAAACAAAAAAAGGCATCCTTTACCTCATCCATGTGGCAGACATTGCACTTATCGAGATCTTTCCAGTCAACACGAACAGGTCGGTAACCAGTAGGATAATCTTGATGCCTTCCCAAACCAATTTTGCACATAGAGGACGGTGGTCTGGATTTTGACAAAGCCTGCTAGGTACGGTGCAACGCATATTAAGTGCAATCACTAGCGGCTAAACAATAAGGCAATGGTATAAAATAGGGAACATGCACACCGAACAGTATAAAAAGAATTTATCATAAAAGTTCACAAAATTTAGCAACCATATTGATAAGTATCTTCCTCATGAAATAATACAAACTGATATCTTCTAAGAAACCTGATTTGTTATAAAGGCTGAAGAACAGAACTCACCCTTCAGTTTTGCTAAAAACACAAGTTTTCTAACAATCACTAGAACATATTATACCCTTTAAACTGTCAGTAATTACTTGTGAAGCTGACTTCATTTATGAGCTGTTAATCTATGTCTCACAAATCATTTAAACGCAACGACAAGATACCTGTACAAGTTTAATGACTTCTGGGTTGGAGAGACCAAACATGTCTGTCCCAGATCCATTTAGTTCTTCCCCAAAAACAGTGGGACCATCAGTAGCACTTTGGACCTTTCTGATTCTGTTATATATTTTACTCCAGCAGGCCGATGGTGTATGCGCTTTGAACTGCCATAGAATTCGGTAATTAATTTTAGCAAGAGTACACTATTGATCTGAAAACATAAATAGTAAATTAGATAAGCTGACCTGCTCTCCACTATCTGCAGTCACTCTAAACAGAGGGCGAGTCTTTGACTCGGCATCTCTGAGCACTTCCATCTTGTACAGGGCAGATGCACTATGATCTGCTTAAAAAAAAGAGAAACGACTCGCATCACATTGATGAACTATCTTCAATCAACCAGATATGGAAAATACCTGATCGATCAGGAAAAGCCAAAAAAGATGATTAACAAATAACCTTTTAGTGATGTGAACTTTCTCATAGCTGTATACCCTTCAGGACATATATGATTCTCATCCTTGAAAAACTGGGAGTCTGTCACAATCTTTCCTGCAAGACAAGTCAGCATGATCATTATAGCCAGCTGAAAATAATTAACCACAGCACGAAAGATGATACAACATACATATAAGTTTCAAAGCCTTACCAAGATTTACTATTCGCAGATCCCCTATGGTATACCGGAAATCTACACGTTCTGTAGGTCTCAACCACACTTCTCCATCCGTAAAGTGATCATCACCCGAGTTTGAGCTGCCCTCTTCTGTACAGCTAGTTCTTTCAGAACAATCAAAATAAGTTCCTTTTTGAAGTTGACTCATCCTTTCTGGAAGCCTATGTTCTTTCAGAAAGCTGGAAAGGCAAAATAAAAGTAACTTCAGGACAGGCAACATGTCCACGTTTCAATAAACATCGAGAAAATGATTGGTCTAATTTTAATGCAACAAGTACTAGAGAATCAAGAAGCCAGTGAAAAGCGAGAGGACTTGCATTTTTGCTTCCTGCATGCCCTCTTCAAACCGAGGTTGTTTGCACTTCAAGAGAGACGGCGAGAGAAGCCCTTTGATAAATGAGGTTGCTTGCTTTTCCTTTATTCTATACAACCAACGGATGTAAACTTCAGCTTGATAATGTGTGACATTCGTTACCACAAATCAGTAGGAAAACAAGATATTTAAATTATTAGAACCTGATAATGCTAACCTCGCAAAATCATGTGTGCCAAAAAATTGTACCAAGAGTGACCTTCCTCCAGATACTTTGTTGTTTAGACCTTTCCGCTCTCCCACAACAGATTCGTCCACAATAACTGCTGGCCACATAGGATGTCCTGTCCGAAAGGGTAAGCAGATACAGTTCTGTGAAAGTCAGTAGGTAGTTTTACTCTATATGCTCCCAACAGCATCAACTTGCTGATAGCATAAAGAAGAGTTTCTAATATATCCATAAAAAGCAGAGATCAGTTAAGAACAGACCAGCTAGTTTCGCCCATACAATGTCTCCAGCCTCAAAATCTTGACATCCCTCCAAAGTAGCTGCCAATACAACCATATCATCGTAATCGCGGCCACCAACAGTCACATCATTGATACAAACCTTCATATGTAACAGCTCCATCTCTTCACGAGAAACGAAAAATTTGATCTTTTCACAATCAAGAGCTAGATTCTCCTCAGATCCATCTTCATATTTAACCTAAAGAAGAATTCAACCACTGTTAGAGGAAGAAACTTTTGAATATTCCATAGCTCACAAATTACCTAAACTAATTGGAAGAACTCAAGTAGGGTACTACTTACAGTGTGACGCTTGTTCTCTGAAATGTATCCGATAATAGTACCTGTATACCAAAGAGCATCCAGTGGCCAAAGAACCTAGAGATTAAACAACAATCAATTGTTAAGATGTTCCTTTCACATAAAATGGAACGCAATAGCTTGAAGTGGACAACAGTCTAGTTTAACACTTGCCTTGCATTGTAGCCCTATGAAACTTTTAGGATCCACACCATCATAACTCAACCTGCCAAGTCAAAACTCTCCCATTATACAAGGCCAAGAGAACAACTAGTCTCCTCGTTAACAATAAATAAAAGATAGTGCAGGTTCAAAGTCTAAGAAGATCAATAACAAGAGGCACATGAACCCAAAAGAAGGTCCAAAAGATCACCCAAATTTCCAAAGACCGTGGCTTTTCAATAGATGAAGAAGTGATGGATAAACACTAACCTGACCCATCTCTTAGCTGAAGCAGAAGCCAGAGACACCTCTTCCTTCTTCTTGGCAGAACTCCGCTTCTTTGGGGATGACCCAATTTGCTTATTCCTGCAACCCCTCAAGCTCGGAAGAGTAGAAGTCCTAATCCCAATCGAATCCACACTCAATTTATCTAGCTCGCAATTACCAATCCTCATTTTCTTCTGTTTCTTCTCCTCAAACCAAGCGTTTGCATCATCAAGCTCCAAACTTTCGGTTTTAACAGACTTCAGGAAAGGCTCCCGCCGTGGCCTCTTACGGCGGCGACAGTAGACGCGAATAATCTCTGGACGCTGAGTCCGCAGCTTGTAATCATCCAATTGACAACAATCGGCAGGGGAGCTCACGCCGTTTTCTTCGACATCAAATTTCTCAATCATCGGAAGCTTCTGGGCCTGGACCTTCTTGGACATCAGACTGTGGGCACCGACGGCGCTAATACAGCACAATGACAATGGCGAAACGGAGTATACGCGCTCAATAGACCCGTAACGAACCGGAGCTTCCACCTGGTCGTCAATGTCGATTTCGATCTGGGTCTCATTCGAAACACACGCCATGGAGATTATACGGAAGGAGAAAGCACAAGCGCTTCGAAAGGAGACACCTTGCTCACTCTCTATCTCTCTTTCACTGTATCCCCAAATTTTTTGCTAGGGTTTCTGTGGATACCAGAAATTAGGGTTTAGAAACGGGAATCGGAGGAAAGGAGAAGACAGAGAAAAACAGATTTGTTTTTGGAGGGAGTAGAAAAAGGATTTCCGTTTCCCGCCGTGCTTTTAAGATGACAGCTCTCTTTCAGATCTAATCCTCACTCACTTTATATATCTCAGCATCCATACATACACACACACACACATTTATGCTGTATGTGTATATATGTGTAGCAATAACTATTTGTTTTTATTTTAAGAAAAAAGAAGAGACCTGTAGCGATATTTGTTGTCTTTTCACTCAATTATCATTTGTTGTTTACTTGTTTAGACTTAGGACAAGCAGAAAATACATCAAAATATCTGATTACACCTCACGGTCACACAAATTTTTGATGTCATGATCTAACATTAGTCATCATCGCATACATTCACACATTTGTATATGAAAATTGTGGGATAAACAATTTTAACGTTTCATCAAAATACTAACCGCATAGACATTGATAACACTTTTCATAAACAAAACCATCAACACTACAATTATTTCACTCATATTTTTCTCTGGACATAGTATATTCACGAAGCATATTGTTATAACTAGGATGGTGAAGTAATCAAGTTTATGCGTATATAAGTTATGCGAAATTTTACAACTGTATTATCCCACAGAGCTAGTTGCACAATCATTTTCCTATTTATACAAAATGTAAATGAGAGTTGCTTAAAATTTCAAACTTTATANGAAGAACCTTGAAAAAAAAAGAGAATGTAATGTGGGTTTACAAGAGTTGCTGTGATCGCTATATTATACTCGCTAATTAGTATCTGTGCAGAAAAATGGACTGCGACAATATTAACAACATAATGCTCTCAGTATTAGGAGCTACAACATTTTTCAAAAAGGATGATTCCTACAATTTCTATAGCTCTACTCGCTTACTGTTCGGTATAATCAATTAGATCACAACGAGAAACATATATTTTCGACTGTTGTTCTTCAGCTTCTTTGTCATTGACAACACCTCGACACCCTGGGAAGCCACAGGAACATGAAAGCCGCTCATCGATTGAAAAGAACCTGCAAATTACAAGGAAAAAGGTTCAGCAAAATGATTAAAGAAAATATCTCAAGATGATCTAAAGAGGAGGGGAGGAAAATGAAACCTATAGTCATAGGTCAGCTCTTCCCATCTAGAGATATCCCTCTTTGCGAAAATGATAATGTGTTCATCCCCATTAACAGTGATGACTCTCGAATAGCAATTTGGCTGTGCATAAAAGACAAAATGCTTAGTTTCTGCATATGCTAACCAAACCGAACACAAGCAAATTAAGATAAGTGAACAAAAGTCATACCACACAGGAGTGATTAATGAGGTGGGCAATGCTTCCTGTCCTTGTAGCATCTATGACTCGCTCATCATCAATTCTAAACATGTAAGTCCCCGCACCCTAATGCATGAGAAACAAATGATTTTATCAGATATTCATTAGTTCATCAGTATCTATGATTTGTACTTTTAAGGGAATGCTATGATATACATAAAAGAACCATTTAGATTAATAAAGCTACGGTATTGTTCACAGAATCTTTGCATAAAGCATCAAACTGTAGAACGTTAGTAAGTCAGAACTACGTACCACCATTGAATTGTAGATTAGACGTTCTCTTTTGTCAGCTATTGAAGGTCTAACAAGTTCTCCAGTGTATTCAATCATCTGCACCAGAATCATGCAATATTTCTCGAGTGACACTTTCTAATGATGAAATCTCCAGTTCAAGTTAAGTATGCTCACCATATCTCCGGCTTTGTGCGGAAGCTTTGCAAAGATGCCAAAACCATGAATTGCTGATTTCCCTGAAAACAAAACAAACTTACTTTTAAGAGAAACAAAAAACTATGTAGAAGATGTTTCTGAAAGAAGCTCAGGGTTGTGATTGGATAGTTCTGAAAGAAATCGTACAAACTATTTTATCTTACGGAACTTTGAAGAGCATGTAAAATCCTTTAATATTTGGTGATAATTGAAGAAGGTTAAATGCTTACCAAATGCTAATCTCTTCCTGTATGTTTCCTTCATGTATTTATATTTCTCGGCCATGGAGAGGATGTTGCTTGGAGTATTCATCTGTGACATCTTTGATCCATGAATCCGCTGATAGGAAGAAAACGCATGTCGAGAGTAACCACCAATAACATATGGCTGATTCTCTACATATAACCGCTTTGAAGAAGCAGCCGCAAGAGCTTCAGGTTCCTTCCGTCCTCTTCTTGCAAAACGATTATAAGGCTCTGCAATAATAGAAACAAAAATTGAATTTATTATCTATAATGACCCATTCGATGCAAACATGAATAAGAGTAGTTCGAGCACAGAGATCGACGCAGTAGCTACATACCAGTCCGAGCACAGCCAGATGGATTAGATGGTGGGAGATATTCGGAAGTTTTATTAGTAACTGGTTTCATCCTGTCTTCTGATTCTAGGCAGGCAGTTGATGTTTGTCGATGCCTCTTGCAGAATGAAAGCATGCGGATACACTGATTTGCTTCTTCCTCCACCGTTGATAGAAGATTAAGTCTGTCCTCATTCTCAAGCTACAAGGACAGTCAGGAAAGCCATCAAAAGTTAGAAACATCTCTTCTGGATTTGTGTACACTTGTGTAAACACGAATGCAAAAATATGGAAGTACCTCAACACAGAGACCAGCAGCTCTCGCGCAGAGTGGATGATACGCCACACGGCAAGAATTGTTCGAACACTGGAAATTTAAACATTTCAACATTATATAAACTCATCGCTGGCCTTTGACAGTAACAGTGGCAAACATAACTGTAACTTACAGATATCATAATGCAATAATTTTAAAATGGGTACCCTTTAAAAATCTAGATCAATAAGGAAACTGTATGGGACTTGTATATAAGTCCTAATGTATCTCTACTAAAAAACTCATAGGTTCTACATTCCTTTCAAGTGAATTTTAATTAGGCATCATAGCTTCTAGAAAAGAATTCAATATATTTCTGTTAAAGTCACCAACTTCAGAAGCAATAGAAGTTCCAAAAGGGTTTATAGGAATGGTCAGAAAATTATGCTGTTTTTCTTCTACTGAAAGCCAGTAATATTGGCAGAATATTCACCAGGCAATTTCAACTAGAAAATTGTTCTGTGGGAATAGAACTCAATGCATAAGAATGATTTAGTTTTCTCTTTAAAATAGAACGAAATCTTACTTGGATACAAGCTCCATAAGATACCCCACAGATGCTGCACAGTAATTTCCAGCGATCCTAGTTTTAAGAGTTAGGAAAAAAGGAAGAGGGATAAGAGTTTTAAAAAGGCCACAGTACCAGGGTAAAGGAAACAGAAAAAGAAAATAAGCACAAACCTTATTGACTTTATTCACCCCATCAATCGGTTCCATCTTCTTCACATCAGATAAACATGTTTCTGGATAAAGTAACAAGCGTTAGAAAAAAAAAGGTAAAAGGCCTCCAAATTCATTAGCATAACACAAACTTATACAGAACAACAAATCATTAATATTGCACCTGGGATCCATATAGCACAGGCTAGATGAGCCCAGCGCCCATCAGTTGTCGGCTTCATCGCACCCCCTACTACAGGACAAATACAACACCGTGGAGGTATATCAGGAGCGTCAGGACGACATAAGTTGCATAACCACAAAGCATCATCACAGGGTTCTAGTTCTCCATAGCATCTAGCATGGACCTGGTAATGGACCAGATATTTCAAATTCAGTCACAACTAAGAGAATGAAAGAACACAAGGCACTATAGAATATAGATGTAAGAGAGATACGAAAGCTCAGAGCACGAGCATTACCATCATTCTACATTTATCACATTGCAGGAACAAATTGTTCTCATACTCCTGCAGACAAAAGTATATTAACCAGAACTAACTTAATAAAGCAAAAAAGATTGAAATTCCCTGTTGAGAAACAAAAAAAGGCATCCTTTACCTCATCCATGTGGCAGACATTGCACTTATCGAGATCTTTCCAGTCAACACGAACAGGTCGGTAACCAGTAGGATAATCTTGATGCCTTCCCAAACCAATTTTGCACATAGAGGACGGTGGTCTGGATTTTGACAAAGCCTGCTAGGTACGGTGCAACGCATATTAAGTGCAATCACTAGCGGCTAAACAATAAGGCAATGGTATAAAATAGGGAACATGCACACCGAACAGTATAAAAAGAATTTATCATAAAAGTTCACAAAATTTAGCAACCATATTGATAAGTATCTTCCTCATGAAATAATACAAACTGATATCTTCTAAGAAACCTGATTTGTTATAAAGGCTGAAGAACAGAACTCACCCTTCAGTTTTGCTAAAAACACAAGTTTTCTAACAATCACTAGAACATATTATACCCTTTAAACTGTCAGTAATTACTTGTGAAGCTGACTTCATTTATGAGCTGTTAATCTATGTCTCACAAATCATTTAAACGCAACGACAAGATACCTGTACAAGTTTAATGACTTCTGGGTTGGAGAGACCAAACATGTCTGTCCCAGATCCATTTAGTTCTTCCCCAAAAACAGTGGGACCATCAGTAGCACTTTGGACCTTTCTGATTCTGTTATATATTTTACTCCAGCAGGCCGATGGTGTATGCGCTTTGAACTGCCATAGAATTCGGTAATTAATTTTAGCAAGAGTACACTATTGATCTGAAAACATAAATAGTAAATTAGATAAGCTGACCTGCTCTCCACTATCTGCAGTCACTCTAAACAGAGGGCGAGTCTTTGACTCGGCATCTCTGAGCACTTCCATCTTGTACAGGGCAGATGCACTATGATCTGCTTAAAAAAAAGAGAAACGACTCGCATCACATTGATGAACTATCTTCAATCAACCAGATATGGAAAATACCTGATCGATCAGGAAAAGCCAAAAAAGATGATTAACAAATAACCTTTTAGTGATGTGAACTTTCTCATAGCTGTATACCCTTCAGGACATATATGATTCTCATCCTTGAAAAACTGGGAGTCTGTCACAATCTTTCCTGCAAGACAAGTCAGCATGATCATTATAGCCAGCTGAAAATAATTAACCACAGCACGAAAGATGATACAACATACATATAAGTTTCAAAGCCTTACCAAGATTTACTATTCGCAGATCCCCTATGGTATACCGGAAATCTACACGTTCTGTAGGTCTCAACCACACTTCTCCATCCGTAAAGTGATCATCACCCGAGTTTGAGCTGCCCTCTTCTGTACAGCTAGTTCTTTCAGAACAATCAAAATAAGTTCCTTTTTGAAGTTGACTCATCCTTTCTGGAAGCCTATGTTCTTTCAGAAAGCTGGAAAGGCAAAATAAAAGTAACTTCAGGACAGGCAACATGTCCACGTTTCAATAAACATCGAGAAAATGATTGGTCTAATTTTAATGCAACAAGTACTAGAGAATCAAGAAGCCAGTGAAAAGCGAGAGGACTTGCATTTTTGCTTCCTGCATGCCCTCTTCAAACCGAGGTTGTTTGCACTTCAAGAGAGACGGCGAGAGAAGCCCTTTGATAAATGAGGTTGCTTGCTTTTCCTTTATTCTATACAACCAACGGATGTAAACTTCAGCTTGATAATGTGTGACATTCGTTACCACAAATCAGTAGGAAAACAAGATATTTAAATTATTAGAACCTGATAATGCTAACCTCGCAAAATCATGTGTGCCAAAAAATTGTACCAAGAGTGACCTTCCTCCAGATACTTTGTTGTTTAGACCTTTCCGCTCTCCCACAACAGATTCGTCCACAATAACTGCTGGCCACATAGGATGTCCTGTCCGAAAGGGTAAGCAGATACAGTTCTGTGAAAGTCAGTAGGTAGTTTTACTCTATATGCTCCCAACAGCATCAACTTGCTGATAGCATAAAGAAGAGTTTCTAATATATCCATAAAAAGCAGAGATCAGTTAAGAACAGACCAGCTAGTTTCGCCCATACAATGTCTCCAGCCTCAAAATCTTGACATCCCTCCAAAGTAGCTGCCAATACAACCATATCATCGTAATCGCGGCCACCAACAGTCACATCATTGATACAAACCTTCATATGTAACAGCTCCATCTCTTCACGAGAAACGAAAAATTTGATCTTTTCACAATCAAGAGCTAGATTCTCCTCAGATCCATCTTCATATTTAACCTAAAGAAGAATTCAACCACTGTTAGAGGAAGAAACTTTTGAATATTCCATAGCTCACAAATTACCTAAACTAATTGGAAGAACTCAAGTAGGGTACTACTTACAGTGTGACGCTTGTTCTCTGAAATGTATCCGATAATAGTACCTGTATACCAAAGAGCATCCAGTGGCCAAAGAACCTAGAGATTAAACAACAATCAATTGTTAAGATGTTCCTTTCACATAAAATGGAACGCAATAGCTTGAAGTGGACAACAGTCTAGTTTAACACTTGCCTTGCATTGTAGCCCTATGAAACTTTTAGGATCCACACCATCATAACTCAACCTGCCAAGTCAAAACTCTCCCATTATACAAGGCCAAGAGAACAACTAGTCTCCTCGTTAACAATAAATAAAAGATAGTGCAGGTTCAAAGTCTAAGAAGATCAATAACAAGAGGCACATGAACCCAAAAGAAGGTCCAAAAGATCACCCAAATTTCCAAAGACCGTGGCTTTTCAATAGATGAAGAAGTGATGGATAAACACTAACCTGACCCATCTCTTAGCTGAAGCAGAAGCCAGAGACACCTCTTCCTTCTTCTTGGCAGAACTCCGCTTCTTTGGGGATGACCCAATTTGCTTATTCCTGCAACCCCTCAAGCTCGGAAGAGTAGAAGTCCTAATCCCAATCGAATCCACACTCAATTTATCTAGCTCGCAATTACCAATCCTCATTTTCTTCTGTTTCTTCTCCTCAAACCAAGCGTTTGCATCATCAAGCTCCAAACTTTCGGTTTTAACAGACTTCAGGAAAGGCTCCCGCCGTGGCCTCTTACGGCGGCGACAGTAGACGCGAATAATCTCTGGACGCTGAGTCCGCAGCTTGTAATCATCCAATTGACAACAATCGGCAGGGGAGCTCACGCCGTTTTCTTCGACATCAAATTTCTCAATCATCGGAAGCTTCTGGGCCTGGACCTTCTTGGACATCAGACTGTGGGCACCGACGGCGCTAATACAGCACAATGACAATGGCGAAACGGAGTATACGCGCTCAATAGACCCGTAACGAACCGGAGCTTCCACCTGGTCGTCAATGTCGATTTCGATCTGGGTCTCATTCGAAACACACGCCATGGAGATTATACGGAAGGAGAAAGCACAAGCGCTTCGAAAGGAGACACCTTGCTCACTCTCTATCTCTCTTTCACTGTATCCCCAAATTTTTTGCTAGGGTTTCTGTGGATACCAGAAATTAGGGTTTAGAAACGGGAATCGGAGGAAAGGAGAAGACAGAGAAAAACAGATTTGTTTTTGGAGGGAGTAGAAAAAGGATTTCCGTTTCCCGCCGTGCTTTTAAGATGACAGCTCTCTTTCAGATCTAATCCTCACTCACTTTATATATCTCAGCATCCATACATACACACACACACACATTTATGCTGTATGTGTATATATGTGTAGCAATAACTATTTGTTTTTATTTTAAGAAAAAAGAAGAGACCTGTAGCGATATTTGTTGTCTTTTCACTCAATTATCATTTGTTGTTTACTTGTTTAGACTTAGGACAAGCAGAAAATACATCAAAATATCTGATTACACCTCACGGTCACACAAATTTTTGATGTCATGATCTAACATTAGTCATCATCGCATACATTCACACATTTGTATATGAAAATTGTGGGATAAACAATTTTAACGTTTCATCAAAATACTAACCGCATAGACATTGATAACACTTTTCATAAACAAAACCATCAACACTACAATTATTTCACTCATATTTTTCTCTGGACATAGTATATTCACGAAGCATATTGTTATAACTAGGATGGTGAAGTAATCAAGTTTATGCGTATATAAGTTATGCGAAATTTTACAACTGTATTATCCCACAGAGCTAGTTGCACAATCATTTTCCTATTTATACAAAATGTAAATGAGAGTTGCTTAAAATTTCAAACTTTATAAGTATTACAAATTAAATCTAATATTTATAGAAACTCATGGTCGTATCCGCAAGCAGACTACTATTGATTTGTTTTGAATTTGGATATGAGCTTCATATAGATTATTAAGAGAAAATTTTGAGCAAAACATAAGCAAGATCTAAGTAAAATATAAAAAAAAAATGAAGAAAAAAATGAAGTTTTTTCATATAGAGCCACTTGTATATCATCTATGGTGGTATACCGGACCACGGAGGATGAATTACTATACTTGGTATCTGAAGGAACATATGCGAGACAAAATATGCGAGTGGTGACACGATTTTCGCATAACATGACGAAACTAGCATGTGCTGATAGAGAGAACTTCTCGAGGAGAATAGTGGTATCCTCTGGATATGAATCTTCTTCTTCTGGAGGTGGCTCCCAATGCTCCATGAGAGAAGCCAAACAGCTCACTGTTGTAAATATATCTGGTTTACGATCAACATCTTGAAATGTGCAATGTTCAGCCAATTTGGCTACCAATGCTTTCCACGGCGTATTTTGGTATCTTCCTATCTAACGAGCTCAAGAACCTGGAATCTTTGATCTTCGGACGTAACCACATGATCAAGTTTTGCTCCTCCTCGCTCAACGTCTCATCGTTCAGTTTCCTTTCCGTGATCATCTTCATTAGGATCACTCCGAATGCGTAGACGTCTGCTTTTTTGGATACTCTTCTTGTACCTACGATTTAAAAATAAACAGAGTTAGCACAAATACTTCATAGCTTTTAAAAGTTCAAAATGAATCTCACTCACCAACATAATCTGGATCTATATATCAGAATGTTCCAAAAATGAATATTTTGTAACATCATAGGTTGTACTACTCTTAGACTATAATGCTTTCAATTTTTGTAGTGCATCTACTATTTTAGTGTTATCAATCAAAGCCATTCATGTTTCTGTTGATAACTTGGTTATAAACGAAATTCATCAAGTTTAAGAATCACATTTTAAAACACACACATTTCCAAATAACAATGGAGTTTTGAAAGAAAAAAAATTGCAAATCATCTTTAAATGTTTAGTTCGGGAAATTTGCAAAAAATCAGAGGAAATTTTGTTTCTCAATAAAAAAACAAAGAATCTTTAGGTAGGTATACAGTAATTTTAAACTCAGTTTTTTGTATTTCAGGCAAATGAAACCTTGTTTCCATCAAAATACTCACGAGAAACAAAACGAATGGTTATAATAATTAGCAAATGACATCATTTCGAGTGTCGAATACATTCATGTATGACTGGAACTCAAAGAAAATATAGCTTACCAATCCCAATTAAAAAAAAAAAAAATCTCAACAAATTCTTTCTATCGATTTAGAGGAAGACAAAACAACATTGCACATGATCTTGCGATCAGGATATAATGCAAACAATGAGAACGATATTTGTGGATGAAATAGAACATGTCTACAAGTTACATGTACAAGGCACAAGATTTGTCGTAGATGCAATTTTGTAGTTGGGTTTTTTTCTTTTATGATTTATGGGGTTATTGTATGTTTTTAACTTCAAATTGTGTATTTCTTTGTTTCATAACTTCAATTATGAAAATATTTATTGATGTGAAATAATTTGATGATTAATTGTGGGTTTAAATTTGATTTGTAATCATTCGCATATATATATATATATATATATATATTCATGGTTTAATTTGACCTAAATGGCTAAATCGAAACAATACGTATTCATCTGCACCTCTGTTTTTGTTGGGTTTTTTTTGGTGAAACAAAGATTTTCCAGGTTTAATTTTGCAATTATCCCGTTTAGCTGCAGAAGACCCGGTTCGAGTGAACCCGGTTAAAGACGACCCGGGTCAATCAAATTGGTGGTTAGTTAAACAACCCTAGGGATTTAAATACTCTTTTTTCGTCCAGCTCTATTCCTCCCTCTCGACTCTCGCCAACTATCATCTTCTTCCTCCTTCTTCTCCGCCATTTTTGTCGGGCTCTAAAACCCTACCATGCTCTACTGAATCTCTGCCTAGTCAATTGAGCTCTATACTAGGGCTTTTGGAAGGTAAATTCAAATCGAATCTACCAGTGCCTCTGATCGTCGGTGCTCCCTCTCCTCGTGTACTCTGTGTCTAGTGTCTCGATTTCCAAACTCCCCGGAGGATGGATCCGCCTAGCCTCGCTTTGATCCTCCGAGCCGCCGCGCTCAGCCCAAATCCCGATGAACGCAAAGCTTCCGAGCTGCAACTCAATCAGGTTTCTCAGCTTTTACTTGAATTCTCTTAAGATGTATTACGGCTGCTGGTTTGATCGGTCCCAGATGTAACTAAGGAGGATTCTACTGGTAGTGTCATCTTAAAGTTTTTTCTTTCAGTTCAAAGATACACATATCTGGACAGATCGTTTTCCTTTAATCTCAGATAGTCGGATTTCAATGTTGTTTCAGTCGAGAATTACTATTTTTAAAGGATTATGTTCAACCAGTTCCTGATTGTCCGTGTTTCTGGTTTTTCTCTGTCTTGCAGTTGCAGCATACGCCCCAGCATCTGGTGAGGTTATTGCAGATAGCCGTGGATGGAAACTGTGACATGGCAGTGCGCCAAATTGCTAGTATTCAGTTCAAGAACTTCATTGCTAAGAACTGGTCGCCTGAAGATTCTGGTAACAATCAGCAATTATCTTGTTCCATCTTAACTTTTCGAAGCTCATGGAGACTGTAATTTGAATATTTGATGGTGCAGGAGAGCAGCAGAGGATATTGCAAAGCGACAAAGAATTGGTGAGGGACAACATACTCGTCTATGTCACTCAAGTTCCAACCTTGCTCAGGTAAATTTCCCAGATAGCTTTTGGACTTAGCGTTCAAGTCATTTGGTTTTTGATTAACTCATTTATTTTTATGGTATCTAGAAATTGGTCTGCCTGACGTCTGATTTAAGTGATTTTATGAAAAGATGTCATAACATGTATAATTCTGATCCAGATCACAACTCGGAGAGTGCCTGAAGACAATCATTTATGCTGACTACCCAGAACAATGGCCACGTCTTCTGGACTGGGTCAAGTACAACTTGCAAAATCAACAAATTTATGGAGCTTTGTTTGTCTTGCGGATACTCTCCAGAAAATATGAGTAAGTTCATCACTTTCCATTCCGTCCTGTGTGTAATTTTTAAGCTTTGTTAGTGCGATTAGTGATATGATTTATTAAAGCATCTTCATGATTGTCCGCGGTGCAGTAGCGCAAATTTTACTGTTGCAGTATAGCACTCTGACTAAATTTTTTGCCGGTTAGAAAAAATTAAGTGAAGGGACAATTTGAATTGGAAAAAGAGTGTTAGGATGAGTGGATAGGAGTGTTCAAAAGTTTAAGTAGCGCATCCTCTTGATTATGTTTCATGATGATGTTATTTGCTAGGTTCAAGTCAGACGAGGAGAGGATACCGGTTTCACGCATTGTGGAGGAGACATTTCCTCTGCTATTGACTATTTTTAACGGGCTCGTCCAGATAGCTGAACCCTCCCTGGAGATAGCGGAATTTATAAAGCTGATATGCAAGATATTTTGGTCATCCATATATGTAAGTCGCTAGAGAGATCAGTTACATGTGCTTCTCTCTGTAGACTTTTACATTTTGTTTTTCCTAACTTCTTATGCATGCCCATGGAACACCGCTCAAACCATTATAAGTGTTTTGTGGAATAGTTGTTTATCAAAGTGAATGATATGACAAGGAACCCTAGATTGGTGGCTCCAACTCCCCCTGTGATCCCTATCTTTGTTGCCTTGTATTTGAGATCATTACCTGCTTTGCATATCGTATTTTATTGACAAGGAACCCTAGATTGGTGGCTGCCACCATGGGTTGGGAAGCGTATCCCTGAACCTCTGCCTGTTCTGTTTTTTTTTTTTATGATGATTTATGGATATCCTTATCTTCATTTTGTGTGATTTCCAAATGTTCAGCATTATGATAATTTCTTACTATTTTCTGTGGGCAGCTGGAGCTCCCAAGGCAATTATTTGATATAAACGTATTTAATGCCTGGATGGTTCTGTTCTTGAATGTTACGGAGCGTCCTGTTCCAATTGAAGGCCAGCCTATGGATCCAGAACTTAGAAAATCTTGGGGCTGGTGGAAGGTCAAGAAGTGGACAGTGCACATCTTAAACAGGCTCTATAGTCGGTATGTCGCCGAAGTTAATATGTTTAATAAAAACTTTGCGAGGAAGGTCCATTGAATTCTATGAACATTCGTTATGATAGGTTTGGAGACCCAAAACTTCAAACTCCAGAAAACAAACCTTTCGCCCAGATCTTTCAACAGAATTATGCAGGAAGGATTTTGGAAGGCCACCTAAATTTTCTGAATACAATTCGTGTTGGAGGCTATCTTCCTGACAGAGTTACCAATCTTCTCCTTCAGTACCTAAGCAACAGGTTTGTGTGCATTAGTTTCGTTTCTCTGGCATTATAGATGTCCACTTGGTTAACTTCAATTTCCTCATTTCTCTGGCGTTATAGATTTCTTTTTTGATCGATGAATTTTTAAGTTCTTGATTTTAATTAGACACTCTAGATGTTGCGATGTTACACTTTTTTTACCATTTATCATGTATTAAGATGTACTTTTGCTACCTCCCCTGCGTTGGAAATTGTGGTTTTTTACTCAGGTCCATATCTACTACACATATGTTGACCTCTTTTCAGTGTTTTAGTAATGATAGAGAATTTAATAGGAAACCTTGGTCACGAAGGATTCGCCAATAATATTTTTCATGCTCTTCTTTGAAATGTGTATTCTTGATGAGTTTCAAGTGTCTTCTAATCTTAGGAGCCTTTATTTCTAGCAATGCTGAATTAATTAGTGACTAAGGTGGTTTGAAATTCATGATGCTGACAAGTTAATATCTGATTTCCTTAAGCGTGCAATATAATTGAACTTGAACTATTTGCAGATGTCCTTTCATTCTTTAACACATTTGACATATATGGTATTTCTCGTTGATGGGAGTTCTTAATTCTTTGACACTAATTCATCGTATCTGCAGCATTTCGAAGAAAAGCATGTACAGTTTGCTGCTGCCTCGGCTAGATGTTCTGCTTTTTGAGATTGTTTTCCCTCTAATGTGCTTTAATGACACTGATCAAACGCTTTGGGAGGAAGACCCACATGAATATGTGAGGAAAGGTTACAGTAAGTATTAAAAGTTTGTGACTTTCTTGAAAAGTCTTAAAATATCATATTTAATGGTATTTGTTGTGCTGCAGATATCATTGAAGATCTGTACAGTCCTAGAACAGCGGCTATGGATTTTGTAAACGAATTGGTCCGGAAACGTGGAAAAGAAAACCTTCCAAAATTTGTTCAGTTTGTTGTAGGGATCTTCACGAGGTATTCCATTGTAGCTTTTCTGCTTGGAACTTCTTCTCCCAGTTGTGTCTTGTTGAATTTTTTGTTTTCCATTGTTTTTAGTTATGACGCAGCTCCTGCAGAACATAAGCCTTATCGTCAAAAAGATGGTGCTATGCTTGCTGTTGGATCTCTTTGTGATAAGCTGAAGCAAACGGATCCCTATAAATCTGAACTAGAGCGTATGTTGGTGCAACATATTTTTCCTGAATTCAGTAGTCCAGTTGGACATCTTCGAGCAAAGGTATTCATTGTTATTAGCTTTAGACAGTGTCATGGACAACACAGCTATCCATGGTTGCCCCTATCTGCGTCCTTATCAATTTATTCTAGAATTCTCTGTATCATTGCTTATCTATTGCTACACTTGGGCTAATGTTGCATTGTTGTCGATATTTTAGTATATACTTCCTGTTTTATGTCCAGTAGTAGATAATTTACTCTTCGAGCCCCTTGATCTGTTTAACTGTAGGCTGCATGGGTAGCTGGACAATATGCCCATATCACCTTCTCAGATCAGAGCAACTTTCTTAAAGCATTGCACTGTGTTGTTTCGGGAATGCGTGATCCTGACCTCCCTGTCCGTGTTGATTCAGTTTTTGCATTACGTTCATTTGTTGAGGCGTGCAAGGGTATGTGATTTTCTCCTACGCATTTGTATGCATTAATGTTTTGCATTAGTTTGTCCATGTGAATTGTCTTCTTGATTGTTCCACTGGGTTTATGTGGTGGCTAACTAAAATGGTCTGGTCAAATTTGCAGATTTGAATGAGATACGTCCAATCCTCCCTCAGTTACTTGATGGTAGGTAACCCTTGTTTATGAAAACTTAGATGGTCGGTATCGATGGAGTTAACTTATGCGTTAACCTAATGGTGATCTTTCAGAATTTTTCAAGCTTATGAACGAGGTAGAGAATGAGGATCTTGTTTTTACTTTGGAGACCATCGTGGATAAGTTTGGTGAAGAGATGGCTCCTTATGCTTTTGGATTATGCCAAAATCTGGTAAGCAAATGAGTTCTCTCATGTGTCTTGTTTGCTTAAAAAGTTTACCTTACATGTATTTCTGCCTCTCCTTTGTCCAGGCGGCTGCATTTTGGAGGTGTCTTAACACGTCAGAAGCCAGTGATGACTCGGATGACATGGGAGCTTTAGCTGCAGTCGGTTGTTTGCGTGCCATAAGTACAATCCTTGAATCTGTTAGCAGTCTTCCTCAGCTATTCGTTGAGATAGAACCAACGATACTTCCAATAATGCAGAAAATGTTGACAACTGATGGCCAAGGTAAAACTGACCTATAGACATACTTCTTGAGTTTCTCTCCTTTAGCTCTGGACCTTTTCCAGATTTTTACTTAAGCATTTAGATTCTCATCCTATTTGCTTTGGCAGAGGTATTTGAAGAAGTTTTGGAGATTGCATCATACATGACCTTTTATTCACCTAACATTTCGTTGGACATATGGAGTCTCTGGCCATTAATGGTTGAAGCATTAGTCGATTGGGCTATTGATTTCTTTCCAAGTATGACTTCTCATATATCTATTTTCTTTTATAGTTTACTCCGTCTCTATAACACATCCATGTCATTCTTTTTTGCTACACTCACTAATTCTTTGGAAATTCAGATATTTTGGTTCCGATGGACAACTTTGTTTCAAGGGGAACTGCTCATTTTCTCACTTGCAAGGAGCCCGACTATCAGCAAAGTCTATATAATGTTCTTTCAACTGTAAGTAAATCTTCTGATAGTTAATAGTGCAATTATATGGTCTGTCCTTGTTGATTATTGTGAGCTATAGGGTTAGGAATTCTTGTAGATATCATGGTTCATGAATGATAGAATCTTCCTTTTATCGTATAACAGAAACTGCGAGTTGTTTAGCATGCTAACTCTGGTAGAAATTTGTTGTCCTAGAGTGTATTGGGTAAACAGTAGAAATAACATATTGTACAACATATGATATTTCTCGCTGCCGTAGTGCGGAGATGTTGTAGCTACATAGCAATACCATTGTTACTACCTTCATAGCTAATATATGTCTCACGTTTCCGATTCTACAGCTTATGACCGACAGAAACATAGAAGACAGTGATATTGTGTCTGCTCCAAAGCTTATTGAAGTTGTTTTCCAGAATTGCAAAGGGCAGGTGGATCAGTGGGTTGAACCATATCTGCGACTCACTATTGATAGGTTACAGCGAGCCGAGACTTCATACTTAAAATCTCTTCTTATACAAGTGGTAAGAACTGTGAAACCTGCTGTGATTCCAACTAACCTAATTAGTTTGTTTAATTAGAGGTGATGTGTTCTTTCCATTGTTGTGTGAGAACCAACGATGGGTTGAAATTCTCAACAGTCTTTAGTTGCAAGGGAACCACCATTGTATCTTCTGCATCTTAATATTTTTGTTTCTTGATCAAGTTCTCAAAGCAAATTATGATTTCTATTCACAGGTGGCAAATATGCTTTACTACAATCCAGGTTTGACGCTTGGTGTATTGCATAACACGGGACTGGGGTCAAAAGTCTTTGATCTTTGGTTCCAGATGTTGCAACAAAAGAAAAAGAGTGGCCTGCCAGCAAACTTCAAAAGGTTTGATGCTTTTTTATGATGTCTTATCTTGTTCATGATAGCTTATAATTGTAATGGTTGGACTTTCTATTTATCATTTTGATTAGCTGATACGTTGCTCTGTTCATTCCAGGGAACACGATAAGAAGGTTTGCTGCTTGGGGTTGACTGCATTACTTGCTCTCCCGGGTGGTCCATTCCCCGACGAAGCACTGCAGCGTGTTTTCAAGGCAACACTTGATCTTCTAGTTGCATATAAGAATCAGCTAGCTGGTATGTTTATGATCCACTTTCTCTCTATTTGGCGTGGCAATGTTTAAATATATCCTTTCCCATGTTTCTCGCAGAGGCAGCAAAGGAGACAGAAGTAGATTATGAGGATGATATGAATGGACTGGACAGTGATGATGACGACGACGACGATGATGGGTCTGATGGGGAGATGGGGATGGATGCTACTGAGGATGGAGAAGAAGCAGAAAGCAGAAAACTGGCGAAATTAGCTGCTCAGGTTTGTGAAGTACTTGTATCGACTTTACTCAGCCAAAGATGCTTGTTTAACTTGGATTGATTCGTTTGTTTTGTTTCATAGGTAAAGGCCTTCCGCTACGTTGATGAAGATGACGACGATGATTCTGATGATGACTACAGCGACGACGAGTTTCAGTCACCCATCGACGAGGTGGATGCCTTTGTATTCTTTGTCGATGCAGTCAGAGGTACGACCAACTTATTCACCAGTCTCGACCACACAATACTAGAAATAGGGAGCTTCGTTTGCTTAATCCGCGTGCTTGTCCATTATACAGTTATGCAGGCATCAGATGCGCAGAGGTTTCAAAACATTTACCAGTCACTGGACCTGAATTATCTGGCAATTGCAAACGGAATAGAAGAGCATGCCGGTGTGAGAAGAGTGGAGATAGAGAAGGAGAAGCAAAAGAAGGCAGCAGAAGCTGCTGCCACTCCTATTCCTGCTCTATGATCTCTTTAAAGCTTGGGATGGTGGAAGAATTCATTTTGGTGAGATTCTCTGTCTTACATATTCAGCATTGCCGCTTGCTTCCAGTTTATACGAACAAAGGAGCATATTTTGTGGATTTTAGCCCCCAAAACAATATTTATATCATCATCATCATCTCCAGAGCCTTTGTGAATCCGTGTGGTTGCGGACAAGAGGGTTTGGATCTCTTATATTATGAAGAAAAGGCTTCTGAACTCTTCTTCTGGATTGGTTGTATTCATCAAGAAAGAGTTTTTTTGGGAGGGTGGGGGATTTTGTGGTCTTTTTTTATCTTTGATGTTATACTACTTGCACACATTGTGTCTTTTTCTTTTGGGATGTGTTAGGTTTTATTTTATTTAGGAAGCTATATTGAATTTTTGTGATCTCACAGAGAGATCAGCATGAAGGTCTATCATCAGGTTGTACGACCATTCTTTCATAATGTGAAATTTTATTATCTATCTTTCATAAGTTTCATTAATTTAAGGGGATCCCTTAATTTAGTTAGCCTAATCCTCTTGGCAATCTTCGGATTTTTATTAACAACCAAAGGCGAAATAAAAGGATCCTCAAATTTCTTCTTTTACTTTCTAAAATACTTTTTTTAATCTTGCCGATACTATATACTGTATAATGGAATTTGTTTATTTCATTAAATGGAATATTAAGCCACCATTCGGATTCTTATTTACATGGAAAAACTTGCCCATTACTAAATTACTAAATAATTATCATTACCTTGCTCTTTGCCCAAGCAAACTCTTTTTGCCTATCTTTCTCTCACTCGATCACTCTCTTTCAGATCTTCTATCTTCAATTGAGTAGTAGCCATGGAAGGTGTCGCAGAAGGAACTCAGCAGCATCACCTTGTTCTTGCCAACAAGATCTTCCTCCTTGCTCATCCCGATGTGCAAGACAAGGATAAAGTCGCTCTCAAGTCTGATATCCTCAACTACATCAAAGCTCACAGTTACGTATCTCCGTCACTCTAAGTTCTGTGTGAAATTCAATTAACGCAGTTCTTTTTGCCTGATTGTTTTGATTGTTCTTGTAATATAGACATGGCTCCCTTGAACGAAACCTTGGTGGCATCTTCTGTTCTGCATTTAGATCAAAACTTTCTCGATTCTATGCGTGCTTGTAACGATGGGGAGCTTACGAAGCTTGATGAGAAGTAAGTTTCCTTTCGTTTTTGACAATTATGGAGAAGTTGTGTTTCCGTTTTTCAGTTTCCTTGTTTGTTATATGTTGTTTTATAGAGCTGTTTCATTGAATTGTAGGTCATAATTGTGTAGAACCTGTTCTGCTTTTTTTTATCTTAGATGCAAATTTCCTTCTACTTTATAGGATTTCAGATGCAGAACAAAATTTAGGCGAAAGTGAAATCCGTGAAGCTCATCTCGCTAAGGCTCTCTACTTCATCACGATTAGTGACAAGGTATACAATATTTTGAGTCTGTTAGAGTCAATGATTATGCACATTAGAGAACGTTATTAGACATTAAATTTTCTTCTGTTAATGATCTATCCAGGTGAAAGCTTTGGAGCAGCTAAAACTCACTGAAGACAAGACTGTTGCCGTGGGACAGAAGATGGAATTGGTCTTTCATACGCTGCAACTTGGTTTCTTCAATATGGATTTTGATCTGATTTCAAAGAGTATTGATAAAGCAAAGAAGTAAGTGTCAGTTTTGGTTTTCTCTGCTACATCGTTTCGTTTGAGCTTAGCTTAGCATAAACTGAACATCTTTGGTTTAACATTGTCAGGTTGTTTGAAGAAGGAGGTGACTGGGAAAGGAAGAACCGTTTAAAGGTCTACGAGGGTTTGTATTGCTTGTCCACTAGAGATTTTAAGAAAGCAGCGAGCTTGTTCTTGGACTCCATTTCAACTTTCACCACATATGAGCTTTTCCCATATGAAACCTTTATATTCTACACGACCCTTACAAGCATTATCACTCTGGACAGAGTTTCTTTCAAGAAAAAGGTAATGCCCTGAATAACTCTAAAATCTGTGAATCTTTTGAGCAAATTGTAACTAACTAGCTTTACTTCAATTGACAGGTCGTTGACGCGCCTGAAATCTTAACGGTGATTGATAAAATCCCCTTCCTCTCAGAGTTTCTAAACTCATTTTACAACTGTCATTATAAGGATTTCTTATCTGCATTTGTTATGACTTACTCTGACACTTGTGTGTCTTATTTGCCATTTCTTGTGCGTTAGAAAGAAATTCATTTCTCGGGTTTTGTGTTCTCAGCTGGACTCACGGAGCAGATAAAGCTTGACAGATACCTAAACCCTCACTTCCGGTTCTACATGAGGGAAGTGAGAACAATGATCTACACTCAGTTCCTAGATTCCTACAAGAGTGTCACTACCGAATCAATGGCAAAGGAATTTGGTCTCTCTGTAGATTTCTTAGATCAGTAAGCAAAACTAACTCTTTATCCTTCTTTCTTATCAAAACCACCTTTTTTGTAAATGAAAACATAAAATTTGTTGTACAGAGAACTATCAAGCTTTGTTCCAGCTGGAAAACTTGATTGCAAGATCGACAAAGTTGCAGGCATTGTCGAGACAAACCGATCAGATGTGAAGAATGCACTTTATCAGTCAACCATCAAACAAGGAGACTTCTTGCTAAACCGGATACAGAAGCTCTCGCGTGTTATCGACATTTGAGACTACAAATTGATTGCGTTGAGTTTGTTCTGCGACACTAAAAGTGCTTCAAATGTTTTTTTCTATAAGGTTTTTGTTTCTTGATCTTGGATCCAAAAGCTACAAATATGAATCTATGATCTTGGTTTTTTCTTTAGGAGAAACAGACATAAGAAACATCTTTGTAGAGAGTAAACAAATGAAGCAAGAGAGAAAAATATAATTATAGAATCAAAACCAGGTCACGAGGAAGAACAGCAAGAGAAACCGAAGCCTTGTTTGGAGTCTTTACTGTCGTCTTTAAAGAGACTTACTCTGTTCTTGGCGCTAAGCTCCGTTTTATAAGTGTCGGAGTTAAGCTGTTTCCGGCTAACATTGGTGTAGATGTCACGGATCACCATCTCAAAAGCTGTTTTAACGTTTGTTGAGTCAAGAGCCGATGTTTCCATGAAGAAGAGTCCTTCGGTTTCCGCTAAAGCTTTGCCTTCTTCCACACTCACCGCTCTTATGTTCTCTAGGTCGCATTTGTTCCCCACCAGCATCCTCGCCACCGTTGTATCCGAATGTGCTGCCAAATAAAGAAAACCGCAAATGATTCAACAAAAAAGCCAACACTCAAATCAAAATCCAAAAATATTCATAATATCAATGTAAGAGCATAGAAATAGAGATATTATCGTTTACCTAATGAGAATAATGGACAATTTTTTGAACAATATGTTACCAATTTCTTTAATAAAGTGACCACAATCTACTAAATCTGGATCAGAAAGTCCACAATTCTACCATTTTGGAATTTCAGTAAATTATAGGACCTAATTGGAAATATACAATTCTTAAACTATTCTAGTTGAGTATGGCTTTAGCTCAATCAATTGCATTTTCAATTCAGAGAGATTCGGTTTAATCATCGAAATCAACCAGAAAAGAACGGTTTAATCTAAAGCTATGGACTTACTGTTGAGCTCATCGAGCCAGCGTCCGACGCTGTCGAAGGTGCTGCGACGGCTGATGTCGTAGACGAGGAGAGCTCCGACGGCGCCGCGGTAATAAGCGGAGGTGACGGCGCGGAACCGTTCTTGACCAGCAGTATCCCAAATCTGAGCTTTGACATCTTTGCCTTCGATTTCCATGCTCTGCGTCTGGAACTCGACGCCGATTGTGGCTTTGGAATGCGCGTTGAACTCGTTCCGGGCGTACCGAGACAGAAGGTTTGATTTTCCGACGGCCGAGTCGCCGATTATGACTATCTTGAAGAGATACTCCTCTCCTCCTTCGTCATCGGACGACATTTTTGGTTGCTCTTTTCCTGATTTCTAGAGAGAGACAATGATGCGACTGGTTTTAGAGAGAGAGAGAGAGAGAGGTTAGGGGAGAGAAACAAGCTGGCAAGTAAATGAGGAAGACATACTGCGCATGAAGTGGTTCGAAACATCGGTTTTTTTCTTTATTCAATTATTTTTGAATTATGTGCCACGGAAGTCGGTGGAATCATTAGTTTATCGGCTTCTTATTACAGAAAAGGAGATTATTAATTAGTGACATGTAAGTGTAATTAGGATGATAAAAAAAATTATAGCCCAAACCGAAAAGCCCATAACCGATAACGTTAAAGTAGCTCAGGCCTTTAATTGCGGTTGGTCTAAAACGGATGCATTGCTGTTAAAAACAAAGAGATGTGTTCTGAATCAATAGTAGTAGCAGTAATCAGAACAGTTGCAATATCAAACTTACATGGTCTTCAAATACTTAAAGAGAGCTTTATCACATTTTAACATAATTTTACATTCATACAAAACAAAAGAGGAAACGTTTTGGTCCAAATGTTCCATATGCTTTAGGGGATATTCACTTTTGGGTCAAATTTCAAACTATGGGATTTATGAATTCATGGACCCACGTTCGCCCCTTTTAGTTCTATAACTTTAACCAAACTACGATCCTGTTCCCATTTTTTAACTTTAGATTACTATGTTATAAAAATGGAGCGAGGTTAGACTGGTTAGTACAAGAGTACAACGAGTTTGTACTTAATTAATAGAGACTACAAGGAGACAAGGAGGGAATCACATATTATGGTTATGTGGTGTGAATCAGGGAGGCCCGTACTGTTTTGGCGCTTAAAGTATAAAAATATTTTGAGCCCATTAAAAATAAATGTTATGTACAGAGCCTTGAAAGTCATAATGAGAGACATTAACCACTACACTATCAGCATTCTGTAATTTGACGCCCCTAAATTTATATTATCTCTTGGCGCCTAAAGCACCATGTTTTATCTGACTTAGGTCAGGCCGACCCAGGATGTGATCAGTGGTCGTTGTAATTTAATGTTTGCTCTGGTAGTGTTATGATGTTATCGTTATGTCATCATCCAAGTATAATCTATTGTTGTTGACAAACAAATTAACTGATATCTCTTGTTGTAGCACTATTTCTTACCAGCACCTCTAGTTTTTATTATTATTTCATATCACCAATCAAACCCAAGAACAATATGCTCATCTACTTTGGATCTTATAAACACAGGATATAAAATTGAGGTTTGACCTACTAAAGTTGATCATCTACTTCAGAATAGTCTATGTTCTCGCATATAAAACTGAAGGAGACTATCCCCAAGATTTGGTCAAAACTTAACCTAAATTACCGGGATGGTGATGAAGAACAAGAGGAGACCAGAGTCATCTTATAATATAATTTCGATGATAAAGTTCCGACCAGAGAGAATGTTTAGTTAGTCAATTCGAATTTGCATGAAACACAGAATTAAGTAAAAAGGACGATAAAGTGAAATGAATGACATAAAATATAACTTTCTGTTCACGTAGTATAATGTCAACCAGAGAAAATGTCTAGTTAGTCAATTCTACTTTGCATGAAACATAGACTTAAGCAGAAAGGAAGATGAAGGCGAAATAAATGGCAGAAATTAAACATATGCATGGTTCACACATTACAACCAAAAGAATTCAAAGATAGATCGTTTCGAATTTTGCCGTGCACGTGTCTACTAGTTTGAAAATTTATATAACACTTCGATTGTTTGAAAACATATGCATGGTTCACACATTATATAACACTTTAATTGTTTGAAAAGTTGTAAACATACACACACAAAATTATCTTCATTTCCCGTTTGCAACTTTATAAACAATATTTTATCGATAGACACTACAATTCATATACTAATATACATAATGCAAACACAAAGAAACAACCTGAACTTTCTTGTGATGTAAGGAAATTAATTGTTACAACCATCCGCATATATACTTTGTCCAATATACATTTCGATTTAAGGAATTTGTTTACAATCGTATACTTTGTACGTTGTAGATAGACTTATAACTATTTGTTCTATCTTTAAAAGTAAACCTAAATTTTAGTTTGCATCATTCTAGTCCTAAAAAATATTACAATACAACATATTATTAGAGACAGATAAAAGCAAGTCCACGACGGTGGTCCAATGCATCATTCCCTGTCCCTTCAAGAACATCATCTTCTCATCACCCTTTCTCTTCAAAAATTCTGAGGCAAGATTGTGACTGTCCTTGGCGTCATCGGCTGATCTCGAGCCTATTCTCCGACAGTTAAGAAGGTTGATATAAGTGTCGAGATCGTGAACGCAGGAAATGTTTTTGACGTCAAAAAAATCTAGTGTGAGTTCGACCCCAACATGAGCATAACATGAACAACTCCATGGAAGCTCATAAGAGCCACCCAAAGCCCTAAAATTCTCATTAAACAAAACGCCGGGAAGTTTAGTGATCGGATCGTTAACATTAGTGATCCTCAAAACCTTAACTCCTAGCTCCTCACAACGTTTCTTGAACTCCAAGTTACCAACCCTAGGACCCGCGAAAGAGAACACGGTCACGGGAATATCTCCCTGGCCGATCCTCCGGTTTAAACCTAGCTCTGCGATGTCATAAGCAAGAAGATGAGCCAGTGAGCTTCCCATGCTATGTCCAGCGAGTGTTATACTTAGCTCTTCTCCTTTGTGCTTATTAATCAACCTTGAGATCTCGGACAGAAGTTGCTGTCTGCAGCTCTCTAGTCCGAATTTGCTCTCACTCTCATCGGATGTGTATAAACTCAAGAAACCGGATTCGACCTTCACGTTGAGACGCGGGTTATGAGGATCGAACCTAGCCGGAGTTAAGGAGCTCATGAAATTCGCCAACCATTCGGGGTTAGTCACTGTTCCACGAAACGTCACCACGATGTCTCTCCTCCCCAAACGTTTCACCGAGTCATCAGATGAAACTGCAACGTAACCTACCCAACGCCCTTGCCGATTTGCCTCATTCTGGACCGGATTGATTCTGATGTTGATATCCGGTGTGGCGTAGATGTATTTAGTGACTTGGTAGTCCTCAGGTTGGTCGATTTCGGTTTCTTTAAGTAGGGTTTTTTTGCCATACTTGCAGTTTAAGTAACGTTTGGAGTTAGGGTTTAGATCGAAGGCTTTGTAGCAAGTGGAGACCAAGTTGCCGTAGCGAGTGATCTCTTGTTGGAGAAGAGGGTTTAAAGGTTCGATGAGACCATCCCAGTTGTTACAACCTTGCATCTCTCTCCAAACCTTAGATAAAGGTACTGTCGTTTCTTCACCGGAGCACAGTGGATGCGGTGAGCGAGGTACCAGAGGATGAGGAGGAGGAGCCGCAAGCGGAGCATTTAGAATCACTGGTGCTAAAACGGAGGAACAAGAATTAGCAACTACAAGTCTTTTGAAGTTGTTTGAGTTGGAGAGAGAGGGAACATGAGGAGACAAAAGTTTGTGTTTTGGAGTTCTATCTCTTAGAAATGGAACATGTTTTATATTAGGATTTTGGGTTAAGCCGTTGGTCGCCATTGATGGAAGAGAGAGAGAGAGAGGGAGGGAGGGAGAAGTTTGTGGAAGTTTTATAAGAGAAACTAAAGTTTCATGTATAAATAAGCAGCATAGAGAAAGAGTTCCACATGTTTTGGCGTGTATATTGACTCAGAAATGTGATAAATTAAATACTCGAATCGCGATCGTTCTGTGACTGGTTAGAATAGTTTATATGCTTGTTTTGGATTATTTATTTTTTTTTAAACATATACTATATAGCTACTCTTTCTAGTTTCTGATATTCCTCACTTCAGTATTGTATTGTACGCGTTAAGTACCATATCATGTGTGAGTGTGAACTGCGAATTAGTATATACTCCCTCCGTTTCAAATTAGTTGTCGTTTTGGCAAAATGTATCTGCAAATATTTGGACGTATCTGGACGTGTTTTGCATTGCAGATACATCCAAATAATTGCAGATACATTTTCCCAAAACAACAACTAATTTGAAACGGAGGGAGTAATAGATATAAAATATCGTTGATACCAAGCTACATGGCTACTATATACATTATTCAAGATCTATCACCCTATTAGAGCAAAATTATGATCTTTATATACAGCACGCTCTTCATGCTGTTTATCAACATAAAATCTATATACAGTAGAAATTCTATAAATTGATATTCGATAAATTAATAAATTCTATAAAATAATAATTTTCTCTGGTCCCAAGTCAGGCCAATGTAAAAATTAGCAAAATTCGATAAAATAATAAGATAATAATAATTTTGAAACTTCTATGTAAATATATGGTCCCATTAATATCATAAATTAATAATTACCATAAATAAAAATTTATGTAAATACATATCTATGATAATATACTAAAATATAAGTATAACTTTCACTTCTTTTCTACTAAACTCAAATATATTTAGAATTCATCCCTAATTTTAGAATGAACATATACAAAATATAAAAACTTTAAAAATTTCTTATTTTTATTTAATTTAATATTTATTTTAATTATTTTTTAATAAAACAACTATTTTATTCAAGATCGATAATTTAATAACTCTATAAATTAATAAAATATCAAAGTCCCAACTTTATTAATTTATAGAGTTTATACTGTACATTTAATAAAATTTCAACATAATATGTAGTAAAAAAATACTTGATATACTCACATGTAGTCAAAAAGTGTCAGTGACCTATACTATACAAGTATACTGTATACGCGGATATAGACGTCATTGCATCATATTATTAAGGCTTATCTACACAAGCACAATTATGTTATGTCTATATAATATACATATATATATATATATATTTTAACCATATATTTATATATTCTATTTTTTGTAACCAGTTAACGGTAGTTTTGTCAATCGACCAAAAAGTATTTGCATTGGTGTATTCTACAAACATGTTAAGTATATTATATAATTCTATCATATATAAGCGCAATGTATTGTTTCTAATTCTACAAAAAATAATCTTACCAGGTTTTTAAGATAAATGCATTGGTTTAACGAAAGACAACCTCCATTGTAGAGACAGCGAAACTCTTTTGGATGTACTCGATTTTATTAGTCCGAGTTCCATTTTGTTTGCATGTCATGTAAGCGATAAAAACATAAGTCCATTGCTTACATGGCAATTATGTTTAAGTCTATGTTCTCACTCCATTTTTAAGAGACCAATTATGAAGACAGTATATATACTCCCTCCGTTTCAAATTAGTTGTCGTTTTGGCAAAATATATCTGCAAATATTTGGACGTATCTGGACGTGTTTTGCATTGCAGATACATCCAAATAATTGCAGATACATTTTCCCAAAACGACAACTAATTTGAAACGGAGGGAATATCACAATATTTTAAACATACGCTACAGTCCATAAGAGTTTCATAATACCTTGTGATGATTATGTGCTGTAGATTAATAACGACTATATATTTTTTTTGACCAAAGGCATGTATAACGATTATATTGATCACTGTGACTGATCAGTTGAGATGGTACTATGTGTGTGACTATATTATAGTAGTTATACATAAATTATCATTGACCCTTACATCTTTTAAGATCTATCACCCTATAAGGTGCATGCAGCATTTTTTATATTTCTTGGGTCACAACTCACAAGTCACGTTTGTTTGATTATAATAAAAATAAATGGTAAATACATTGTCACGAATAAAATACTGGTATACATGTCGTTCTTATGTTATTTACCTGGTTGATGATGACCCAGGTAAAAAAAAAAGAATTATCCAGTTAAATTGAAGTCAAACTGCCGGAGAGCAAAGAAGTAGTTTTTCTGAACAAGAACTAGAGTCAAAAGAAAGCATAAGAAAATTGTGCATACGCGAATTAACGACGGGTTTGTTGTATTAACTTTGGAGTCAGTTTTCATAAGATATTGTATTATTGTCAATCAATATAACACATAAACTTTTAATATTACAGACCATATTTGTCTAAATATATGGATAACAGACCATATAGGCTTCTTCTTGTCTAACAGACCACAAATCCTTTTAGCCTTATAAATAAGCAAGGGTACAAGTAACCTAGTGTACATGAAATTTATACTTTTATGGGATCGTTTTGGTTTCCAATTTTTACATGAAAGTAGGACTAGAAAGAAGAACTTTTTTCTTTCCGACAACAATACGCGGATAATTAGATGAAAGATTTGGACTTTGACACGTCATCAAGAGTGGACTAAAATAGTACCTTTGTTTGTAGAGCAGTTTGTAGTTGTTCGTTATTTGACCCCTTCTTTCCTACGTGGCGTTAAACTCCCACATGCAGCTTCTTCTTTCTTTCCTTTCAGAACCTTTTTTGTTTGTTAACAACTTTTGTTTCTAACTTTGTTGCAAAGTGATGTTTTTTTTGTTAAATTTGCAAAGTGATGTTAACGACTTAACGGAAGCTGTTTTTTTAACCAAAATAAAAATGATACAAGCAGAAGCTGTTAATTTCACGATTATTCTAAACATTTTTTTTTTTTGTAAAACGTCAGTAAAATTTTGTGAAAAGTCTATTAAATTTCGATAACAAAGTTTCCCGATCTTAAAGAGATGAGCCTTTATTCTTGTTTGGTCAAATCCACTACTTGATTGGATGTAACATGTTTGTTGTACACTCTTAATCTCACATTTTTCAATTAGAAGAAAAAGTAAGGATGACGAATTTTCCAATAGAATACTAAGCATGTTTCTTTTCACATTTTCCATATGATAGTCGATCCCTTTAGTTCACATTTTTATTTGGACCGTAACAAGAACTGAGATACTTTAATATCTAATTTTGAGCTTAACTTAAACAAATATAACGACTGTGTAGACAAAAAGGATCAACTTGCTTAAACGTAGACAATTATGGATACAACTTTTTATGGGTTTTTTTAACTTTGTCCTAAAGCACTAGCTCTTGTCTCTGTTCAACATGAACATGGCAGTTTCTGTTGCTTAAAAACCCCGAAACCTCTCTAATGTCATAACAGAGGATGATCTGGTAGCCAAGAATTTCTATAGTTATAACAATACATTGCAAGAACCTGAGCTCTGTTCCATCTGATGCAATTTCGGCGATGTTCCTTGTTTTTTTTAACAAAAAGGCATTTGGTTAGCTCCTACTCTTGTTTCTTGAGCGCCGGATCAGTACTTGGGACTCCCAATGTCAATTTCTTCACACTGTCTTCGGCCTGTGCGACAAACGAAGCGTCTGGCTTGTGTTTAGCCGCAGGTTCTTTGAGGGCCAAGCAGATGTAGAACACAATCACTACATTGACTGATACCACCGCAAGAAATCCACTCAGTAGCGTTAGAGAGTGAGGAGACATCGTTGTTGAACCTGTCGAGATATCAGCACATTAGTGTAAGACACGGTAAAAGATCTGAAACACAGAGGGTTGCAGTTTAAACGGTTAATTTCTATAACATTTGCTTTTACAAAGCCTTAGTTTTGTAAGAGAGAGAGAGAGAGAGTGACATATGTAAATGATCAAACTTTATTACATGAACTAAGCGTTAAAGACTAAAATGCCTTGGTCACAAGAATTAGCGTTACAACCATAGCATAGCCTGTGGTAGCATTTCAGTTTCATGTTTTCCAACCCCAACTCCTGAAATCTAAGTTGTGATCAAATAAGTTTGCAGTTTCTAAGAAATTCTACAATCAGAGTTCTCTAATCTTCCATCGCATCCGAACAAGCAGCTATTCTCATGAATAGAGTTTCAGTTAAAAAAAAAGAGTGTCTGCAGAAGCTAAAGATGCTTCTATACGGAAATTATATGAAAATCTGAAATGCTTATAACTTGTTCAGATAGTGGTTAGGTTAAACTCAAATCTGAAATGCTTCGAGGGTAAAATCTCCTACCACAAGCTACAATCCAATCACTCCTAAACAACAAGACTAAACCTATGATCAGGAATTACATACATCTTCAGATCATAGGTGTAGTACAAATATGATAGCAAATGTAAAGACAAAACTAGAGGGGATCAGTAATTAACAAACATAGATGCCCTCTGGTTTCGAGAAAATCACCATACTAGTTAAGATATGCCCTTCTGTAACTAATCACTTTGTCATTTAGTCAAGAAAGATCCAGAGAAAACTCAGTGTTATAATGCAAACACCAAATGATACCCACAGTCTAAAGTCCAACGCAAAAATGAGAAATCGAAAGATTCCTTTTATCAATCTAACAAATTTAAGAGCATAGGAGTGAACATTAGTCCTTCAGTCACCACTCTCAAAACGACACCAGATTTCCTCAGAAATCAAGTCAAACATGGAAATTTTAGCTTTATATTATGATCTCACCTCGAAAACTATTGGTTCTAGTTTAAAGATGCATCAAGGTTGGTATGAATCAAGAAAATAGCTATAAGCAGGTTTCTAAATCAAGATCAAACTGTTCCACAGGTGAATTAAGAGAAAAATGGGGATGCAGCAGCGAAAAAGTCAAATCCGAATGCGATACCAGTAACAAACAAGGCGAAAATCGGACCCTTACCAGGAAGCAGATCATTGTTGAATCCATATAATATAGCAATAGGAAGAATCCACATGAACATCGATGCAACAAGGAACTTCTGCATAACCCCAGCCATGGTTGCACGAAATCTACATCAAACCAGGAATCACGAAGATGCGAGATGTGGAAAGAGACATCTATCTGTAAATTAGGGTTTTACAGAAATTAACCTTGATCCCACAAAGTGAGCGACGATAGAGAAGCTTACGCTGAATCTAGCGAGTTAACTCGGTCTTGGACTCTCAAGAGTATTGCTTGCAATTTGATTTTTTTCTTCTGTCAAATTTCGAGGAGGCCATTATTAACAAGAGTGATATACTAAACCGAAATGAACCGGTGTATCTCACCAAAATATTCTATGAACCGAACCGCAGAGAATATTTTGGTGAGATATACCGGTTTATTTCGGTTTAGTATGTCACTCTGGAAGAACGCTCTCAATCTACTTAAGACCCTTGATGTCATACTACACATTTGGACTCCAAGCCCTGCAAAATGTCAATCAGGTTATTAGAATCTTACTCGACTCGTTGAAACTACATCACTGTTTCAAGACCTCTGAAAGCGTATTATGTTATATGCTTTTCAGGTGATCGAAAAGGTCGCATTGCAAGAATTGACTGTAGAGTATTCTGCAGAGAGGCTCAGCGGAAGAACAAAGCTTGGCTTCTTCTCTTGGCTCATAGCCTCACTTTCTACTTAGAAAACCAATCAAGTCAAAGTTTTATACTCTTTGCTGAATAATGTGAGATCCATATCTGATACCTCTGTCTGTTTCTGAAACCTGCAATCTATCCAATAAATGTTGTATCGTAATTACTTTGAAATTATCTGATTATCTGAATGAGATCTTAGCTTTCCTTGTGCAATTGGTCAATTGGTCTATTTATCTGCTTAAAGTATTTACTCAAAGACATAATCAAACCAGTAACTGTTATTTGAGGACGAGTACGAAATAAAGCCAGATGGAAACAAAACCATATATTATCATCCATGTCAAACCTTTTAAGAAAGCTAACAAGCTAATGTCATGAATGAATCTCAACAAATTCGGAATAAACAGACAAAAAAAGCAAAAAGAATAATGAGTCGCATAGCAGAGCTGTTTTGGCCGGAACTTTGAGTTACAACCGGAGCTCCAGATCCAGATCCTCGTCAGAGTGTGGTGAAGTCCAGCTAATTGTCTCTTGTACAGCCTCCATAGGAGCCGTCTCCACCGCCATCCAGTTGAATTCTCCGGACTCTCTAGTCGTCTCAGGAACCGGAACTCGGCAAGTCCAGCTAATTGTCTCTTGTACAGCCTCCATAGGAGCAATCTCCACCGCCATCCAGTTGATTTCTCCGGAATCTCTAGTCGGCTTAGGAACCGGAACACGACCAGTCCTCCTTCTCTTTGGAAAGTTAACAAACCTCCTGTTACTCTCTTCTTCAGCCTCAAGACTAGCTTCACGTCCAAATATCACGTCAAAATCTCTAGTAACAACTGAAGCCACGGGTGAAGAAGAAGCTGCATCTGTAGCTTGAGCCAGAGGTTGAGCCACAACCCGATCTTGATCTGCAGCTAGAGCCAGAGCTTGAGGCTGCGGAGGAGGAACGAGAGCTAAGTAGAGCCTGCCTTTGGAGTGGAAGGACCAGAGGTGAATCCTCTGGTTTACCTGTAACCGGTTATGGCGAAAGACCTTGGTCCAACCGGTAACCAAGACGTAGTTGCAACTGTTCTTCATATCCCATCTCCTGAGGTTAAGATTCCACTTTCGGCGATTAGAATCGACCAAGATCACATCCACTCCCGTCAGACGCTTCTTGTTGAAATGGTCATCTATGTTTCTCTGCTCTTCCTCGCTCAAGAAGTCCATCTCCGCCATCTGGTTCCATGGAATCAAGAGACGCGTTAGGTTTGTCGCGAGATCACTCTTCATCAGATCCTTTTCGATGACGAGCTTCGCGTCCACACCGTCCTCTTCTCTCATTAGGTTAACCAGCCACTCCGGCGTCTCCCCCCTCTCTCTTCTGATGACCGGCTGTCTAACCGGCGGCTTTCTTTTAACCGGCGGTTTTAATTCTCTAATCGGCACTGCTCTGATCGGGACCACCGCAAGACGCTTCTCGGACTCTACGGAGGACAAACTTGACGAAGAAGAAGTAGAAGAAGAGGAAGCGTGATCAAGACGGTTAGGGTTTTCTTGACTCTCGCGGCGCTCCATAGTCTTTCGTTTTCCCAGTAAAGATCTCGCGGCTTCCCCAGTTACGCAATCGATCAAGAATCTTTTTCTCTGTTCTTCTTCTTCTTCACGTCTCGTCGCTCTTGTTTCTTCGTCACGGAAAGCGACAAGCAACCTCGCTAAAAGATCAAACGTTCTCCTTTCTCTCATCAAACCCTCGCGTTGATCATCATCGTCTCTCATCATCGTCGCCATCGAAAAAAGTAAAGCTTTTTCTTTTTTTGGTTTACGGCAATGAAAGTCGAAAACAATTAGGAAATAGAGAAGAGAGAGGCTGAGAGTTGTGAGGGTTTGTGTTATTGTGTAAGTAGGACTGCTTAAATAGATTTTGATTTGACTCAAGTCCTTTTCCTATTTAAACTGTAAATCTTTACTAAACTTTCCTTTTTTTAATTTGTTTAGTGAAGATAACTCTAATCACAAATCTGTAAAAGATTGCCTCTTTTTCCTTTTTTATAAATCCGTGTTCTTATTGGTTGAGGTTAATTCTGCGGTAACAAAAATAAATATATTTCAACATAATTAGAAAGTCTCGGAAGCTTCTTCAGTCCGTTGGGGGAAAAGGAAAAGGAAAATTCCCTAGTCAACTAAAAGTCCACGCGAGGCACTCCCAGATTCTTGGGGTACGAAAAACAACGGTTCACTGTAACATTAAACCTCGCATGACGTGTCATTTTCTTATTGGTAAAAATTGTTCTGACATTAATGAACGAGTAAAACGGGGTTTTTAGCGTTTAACTAGCCAGTGTAGATAATTTTTAGTGTTTGCGATTGCGAATTTGCGATCATCCGGAATTTATCGCCGGCATGATCTTCTTGCCTTGTATGGATGCAAATGTTTTGAGAACATCGAATCTGCTCGTACATGGATTTAGCATACTTGTTAACGTTTTTTTCGTAACTTTACCAAGATTACGTACATTTGTTGTGTATAGCAAATTAGCAAGGTTGTAGAAAGCTTTTGAAGGCGGTGTATCAATCATGAAGAGAAAATCGGTATAGTTACATGGCATCGGTCTGGTTGCGGTGTGTTTGAGGCAATGCATAACTAAATATGCTTCATTAATGATTCGTCATTTCAAAGGTACGCTTCTCTGATTTCATCATTTTGTTTTTCTTGCGGAACACACAAGTATCATTCCATTGAACTGCGAAAACTCTCTCAATCTACTTTCTCCAGCCGGGAAGACCCTTCATGTCATACTACACATTTGGCCTCCAAGCTCTTAAAAATCTCAATCAGGTTATTAGAATCTTACTTCGCTGAAACTTCTTCCTCTCATTTCTTTAAGATCTTAAAGAAAAATTATATTCATATATAATATATGCTTTGCAGGTGACTGAAAGGGTCGCATTGCAAAAATTGATTGAAAGAGAGCTGTGGAGTAAGGTAGTTGAGTATTCTTCAGTGAAGTTCAGTAGAACTGTAGAAGAACAAGGTTTGGCTTCTTCCTGTGGCTCATAGCAGCCTCACACTCTGCTTGCTTAAAGGTCCAAACTGAGTCAAAGTTTTATAGTAATATACTACTATTTTCCAAGTTCTATGAGATCCATTAATTTCTCTGTCGTTTTCTGACACCTGAAGTCTCTTTATTACCCATTTCATGTTGTCTCTTACTAGTACGTTTCAGTTTGCCTGATGTATATCCTTGTTTCCATATGCTTAACAGGTAATCAAACCGGTTTTATGTGTTTCCCGCAAGGAATCATATGATAAAAAGACGGCTTGTAATAAAAGCTTTCGAAAACTAACATTAGTATCATTAAAGAAGCTAACGAGGTATCTAAATGAATCTAAATAACACCTAAGAAGAATAAAAAATAAAGAATAAAAACACCAAAACAAAAAACAAAACAAAAAAACACCAGAATCATAGTTTAATTCAACCGGCGCAGGCCTTCCAACTTCTTCAACTCTGCTTCTGCCACGGCACATAAAATATTAAACGGACTCATATTAGAACCCACTCCAGAAGATCTATTCACATTATCTAAATCCTCGTTTATGCTTTGCCCGATGTTGCCAGAGTCTCTAGTTGGAGCAGGAGCTGGGACAGGAACTTGAGTGCTTCTGATTCTCATATCTGCCTCAGCCACTGCAGCCAACATGAGTAGATTAGAAGCCATCTCCTCATCCACTTCAGGAGATCTACTGACATAATCTAAATCCTCGTCTATGCTTTGGCCGACGTTGCTAGAGTCTCTAGTTGGAGCTGGAGCTGGGACCTCAACTCTAGTGCCTCTCCTTCTTCTTGGAAAGTCAACAAATATCCTCCTGCGACTCTCCTCATCAACCTCTAGACTAGCGTCAACTATATATAGCTCGTCAGAGTTTCTAGTTACAACTGGAGCCTGAGCTGAAGATGAAGCTGCATCTAGAACTGGTTCCAGATCTTGAGCCATAGCCGGAGCTGGAATCGTAACCGGACCCGGAGCTGGGGCTGGAGCTTGAGCAGGAGGAACGAGAGCAAAATAGAGCCTGCCTCGGGAGCGGAAGGACCAGAGGTGAATCCTCTGGTTTAACCTTAGCCTGTTATGGAGACAGACCTTCCTCCAACCGGTTATCAAGACGTAATTGGAACTGCTCTTCATATCCCATCTCCTGAGGTTAAGATTCCATTTTCCACCATTAGAATCCACCAAGATCACATCCACTCCCGTCAGGCGCCTCCTGTTGAAATGGTCATCTATGATTATTTGCTCTGCCTCGGTCAAGAAGTCCATCTCCGCCATTTGGTTCCATGGAATCAAGAGACGTGTTAGGTTTGTCGCGAGATCACTCTTCCTAAGATCCTTTTCAATGATGAGCTTCGCATCCACACCATTCTCTTCTCTCATTAGGTTAACCAGCCATTCCGGCTTCACCCTCTCTCTTATGACCGGCTGTCTAACCGCCTCTCTTCTGACCGGCACTCTTATGACCGGTTTTATCTCTCTAACCGGTTCTGCTCTGGTCGGTTCGTTGGGAACCACAAGACGCCTCTTGGACTCAAGTGTGGAGAAACTTGGAGAAGAAGCATCAACCTTTCGTTTGCGCAAGCGAGAGAGCTCTGTTGCTCTACTTATCTCCTCCTCTTCTTCTTCTTCTTCTTCTCGTATCGCTATTGTTTCGTCATTAACATAAGCTGAGAGAAGCAACCTCGCCAAAAGATCAGACGTTCTTCTCTCTCTCAGCAAACCCTCGCGTTGATCATCATCATCGCTCACCGTCGTCATCGAAAAGTAGAGAGGCAGGCTAGGAGGGTTTAGTAGGACTGCTTAAATAGAAACTTTGATTTACCACAGACCTTTTCCTATACGGACACAATGAGACTAAATATTTACTAAATCATTATTATATTAATTTTTATTTTGTTTAGTGAAGATAAATATTGATTTTGCCGGTTTCCTTGTGAAATTCTTGTTTATCTTGTATTCCTATAGGTTGTTTTTAAACCAGAAATATTGCACCGCCTTGATTTTCAACATAATGAGTGATTGTCTATCCTAAATACACTCGGGACTGCACTACCTGATTTTTTTTTTTCGTTTAGGCTTTGTACTGCACTACCTGATTCTCGAGGAAAATAAAAAGAACAATATATTAAAACTGGGGTTTATCTGATGTTAAAAAAAGAAAGAAAAAAAAAACTCTACAATTCGTACCTTAATTATTAAATCATAACATAGAAAGAAAACCCACTGGCAAATTGACCTAACAAACCTTTATAAAAAATTATTAAATCATCATAACATAGAAATAAAACCAAAAAAGAAAAACCAAAACAAAAGGTCTTGTACGAGTGTGAAGTATCCACACTATGGAAACAGTTGTCTTCATTCTCTGCACAATGTGTGGTTGGTTATGTATTGGTGAACACGATATCACTCATCTGTTCGTTCTAATTCCTCTGTTGTCTCCTATATTAAATTTGTGTGAATAATACAATGAAATCACATTTGACTAATCAATTCAGCATGGTGGAATTCATCTGCTTAATCCTCTCCACGTTTCTTGATCCGCAAGCAAGGATATAATAAACTAATCTCTTTAGTCAAAGGTGTTTTAGTTTAATCAATCAGAGTGGTGGAGCTGTAGAAACTTTATATATTTGTCTATGTTGTGTATTCTATTCTCATCTTTCAGAAGAAACCTACAACCTTCACCTTGAAGAAGCAAGAGAGAACAGAGCAATGGAGAAAAGGGAAGATCTTGAGACTATTTTACCATACTTATCTCTAGTGGTTAAGGATTCGTCTCTTTCTTGGTCATCGCCGCGCGTGGTGGAAATTTTAGAAGCTATGGCCAAAGGACCGAGTCACAGCCGAGTCGTCTCGGGACAAACTCTGTCAGATTCCATCTCTGAGATGAGACAATCTCTCTCTTTGACTTCTCATCTTTCTTGTTCAGCACGTCAAGGATACGCTCTCTTCTTCGACGAGGTAGCAACAAAATAAAAACAAAAAAAAAAAATCAAAAGTTTTTCCGAATTTTTCAGATTGATTGAGTGAATAATGTAATTGGTTTGGTGCAGAGAATGTCAAAAGAAGAATCAAGCAAATGGTTTAACGATGTTTTGCCTGCAATGGCTTGTCTTATTTTGAGGTTTCCAGCTCTCTTGGAATTGCATTATTTGAATTCAGAGAATGTAATCAATGGAACCAAGACCGGTCTTCGTGTCTTAGGCCCCAAGAAATCTGGCATGGTGTTCCTCAGTCAGGTTTATATCTTCCAAATCCAAACACTTCTGATGCAAATTCTCAATTTAGCAAGAGAGGTTTGAAAAGTGTTTTTCTTTTTGGCTAATGGCAGGAACTTATAGGAGCATTGCTTGCATGTTCTTTCTTCTGTTTGTTTCCTGTTGACAATAGAGGCTCAAATTGTCTTCCAAACATCAATTTCGATAAACTATTCGGGTATATATATATATATATATATTATCAAACAACAAATCACATATACATAAAATTAAGATTCAAGATCTTCACATTTTGCACCCAAAAAAAAGTTTCAAGATCTAGACGTTGACCTTTTGCAGAAGCCTAATCAACACGGCACAAAACGAACATCTGGAGAACAAGATCAAGTGCATAATTCATTACTTCAAGAGGCTATCTTCATGTATCCCTCCTGGATTCGTCTCATTCGAACGGAAGATTCTCTCTCTAGAACAAGATTCTACTTGTCTCGAAGCTTGTCCTGATGCAAGCTTTTGGAGCACATCTACCCTCAGTCTCTGCCCTGTTGAGGTAATTCAATTAACCAGATCAGTATCTATTGTCTCTCTGTAAAAACATTTTATGGTCAGTTTACAGTTTAGTATCGTATAGGTTCATACTTCTGGTTTAATCGAGGATCAAAGCGTTGAGGCTCTTGAAGTTGACTTTGCCAACAAGTACTTAGGAGGCGGTGCTCTTCGCAAGGGATGTGTCCAAGTCTGTAAAATGTAACCTAAATCCTTTTGATACTGTGAACAATTCTTCTCTGATGTGAATGATTTCATGAAAACATACAGGAAGAAATTAGATTCATGATAAATCCAGAATTGATCGCTGGTATGCTCTTCTTACCTGCCATGGAAGTTACTGAAGCCATTGAAGTTGTTGGTGCTGAAAGATTCTCTCACTACACAGGGTGGTTACAAAAGTTCTTTGAGTTATATATATACACAGAGACATTAAAATGTGATTGTGAAATGCTTTTACTTATGTTAAAAACTGGTTTCTACATTCTGTAGATATTCATCTTCGTTTCGGTTTTCCGGTGATTACATCGACACAAAGGAGATAGATGTTTTCGGAAGGCGAAAAACAAGAATCATCGCCATAGATGCTCTACGTCATCCAGGAATGTCCCAGTACAAACCTGAATGCCTCCTCCGGTAAAACTGAATCAGATCTTTACTTATTGTTAACTTGTCTTGTAATCAAATTGTTTCTAAACATCTTGTTTCTAATCCTTTCTTCTTCAGGGAGACCAATAAGGCTTTCTCTGGTTTCCTTCATGTCTGCAAGAACCAAAGCAACGGACAATGCACAGATCATGAAGAAGGAGTTGGTGTTGCTACAGGGAATTGGGGATGTGGTGCTTATGGTGGAGATCCTGAGATCAAATCTCTTCTTCAATGGATTGCTGTTTCACAGGTCAATATCTTAAACCATTTCTCTCCGTTCAATGGCTGTTTATTTTTGGCTCACAACATTACATTTTTCTTCAGGCAAGAAGACCTTTCATGTCTTACTACACTTTTGGATTCGAAGCAGTCCATAACCTAAATCAGGTTTCGTTTTTCCTCATTGCTATACAAATTACAAAACAGAGCAATGTTCTGTGCAGACTAATATCCAGTTTTGGTTACTACAGGTAACAGAATTGGTTGTATCTAAAGGATGGTCAGTGGGAGATCTATGGAAGAAACTGGTCGAATATTCGAACCAGAGGTTAACAGGCAACAAGAAAAGAAGAGAGCCTAAACTTGGATTATTTGATTGGCTTATTTCGATCATATCTGCTCAAAAGCATTGAGTCATTGACTCAGAACATTTGCTGTTAACTTTTATTGCAACAAAACTCAATCTGATTTCAGAAACACATATAATTTGTATCTTCCGAGTGAAGTTTATATATAAATGTGGGGAAATATTCAAACAAAGGCCACCACTGTTTTGTAGATTTCTCGAGGAGGCTATTTGAGGTTTAGTTAGTTATGTTGAATGCTGTCTTCATTCTCTGCACAACGTGTGGTAACGTATTGAGGTTGTCCTCAATGGATTTGTGGACGCAACTTTCCATCTCGTTAACCGCTTCAGGCCTTATCTTCTGGAGCTTTGCAGCTTCAAATTTGTCTTGACACACCATTAAAGATCTGTTCAGTCTTTCCTAATACATTCGGCCAACAAAGATGTATATATAGATGCAGCATCAGTTATCATCTTTCATAATCACCAAACATTTTTGTATCTCTCTTTTCTTGTGGAAGGAAAGTACCTGAAACTGAGCCATTTCGTTCTCAAAATGCTGTTGAGATTTGACAACGGGAACACTGCAGTACTCAACGCAGTTACTTATCTCCTCTTGGTTTCTACTTCTGTCAAAGCACTCATATGCACATTTGAAGTAAGCTTGCTGCAACAAATTGAAACAGTTGTTGTTGGGGTTGATTAGTTTTGGTTTACTGGATCACATAACTCAATACAGCAATTAACAACCAAGAAAACAAATGGTGAAAAAAGTAACACTCAAATTTCTGAAGACCAATGTAGAACGAACCAGAGCAATATATAGACAGTTTCATGAACCTGATCCACAGTCTCTAAAGACAAATATAAGAACGAAAACCGAGCAAGATTTTCATGAACCTGAATAATATAGTCGTAGAGATATCAAACTCAATACATCAAAAAGTTTACTTTCCAAGAACTACCACGAGAGACGACTTCTTGAAACTATGGAGATTGTATCAAAACGAATAAAGATTTTATTTTCAGAAGCTAAACATTGCTAAATTGATAAATAAGAAAGCCTAAGAGACACAATATGAAGGATGCGACATCAATTGGGACGTTGATGAGCTCGAAACGCAAGACATGCAAGAAAACACAAACCTGCAGGGTGAAATTGATGTGATCTTGGACAGGAGAAAGCTGAGCCTGAGCAGCTACATTAACTTCTTCGAGCTTTCTTTGAAGCCTCTCCGATACAATTTGCTCCTCCGCTGCAGCTATGTGTTCCATCGTCTCTCTCTCTCTCTCTCTCTCTCTCTCTC